ATTGGCGCGAAACCAATATAGAAATAAAAGGACTGCATAGAATCGAACGTGCACGAAACTGATGTGTTATCTGATTTGTTAGCCTTTGTTACTTTCCACGCGTGATGTCTCGAAATATGTACCTGAGCCTTCATCTTGGCAAAAGTAGAATTAGCATGTAAATGTTCTTGGGCGATTTTGGGCCATATCATTCAATTCCCAAAATAAGCGCTCACGCCGCTACCAACAAAACAGCCTTTTGAGCAAAAACAGGTCCAGCCGTTGATTTTGGAATAGATCAGAGCTGAGCCTACTTGTCTAATATTCGTTAGGGTAAAAAGATATGTAACTGAACAAACGCATAGGAATTATTAGGAACAGTGAAATGCTATTCCATTGCAAGACTTGGCATTTTCTTTGGGTTTGTTAAACGAGATTAAACTTCCGCAGACAGTTGATCAAGTTGCTGGGTATCAGAGACTCTTTCTGTAAACCGCCTCACCGATTCTAATATTTACGACAATGTAATTATACCTGTTGAAAAGTTGATGCCACGTCCTAAATTAGTTAATGAAAGCGATGAATAACGCTCTGACGCCCACGCTGAAAACTAAACTGAAAAAACTCTCACAAGTCTCTCATCGAGACTGGGTGTTTTTTATTTTGTACCAATCTGCTGTATAGTCATGCAAGAATTTAAAATAGATGGCTTTCCGTGTCATACGTGTCCACTGATGATCTTCAGTGCGTGATGTAATTTACCTCCGCTCCCATTGGCTTCAGTTACGCATGCTCCCGAGTTACGTCATAAAGCCGATCCTTAAATACATTCAGTCAACAATTCATACCCATACATCTTTTCAGAATTTCCGCGCGAACCACTTTAAACTTCAACCAGTGCGTCATTTTCAGCATATCGACCAGTTTCCATTTGTTTTGAAGATGGAAATCCAAGAAAAGCCCAACGCAAAAGAGACTCCAGACCTTAAAAACAAGCAAGCAGCCTGGAGTAATTCTTCTTGCAGGAATCTATTTAGGATCACTTTCCTACGTGTTATTCCTTTACTAACATTAATTACTGGCGTGGTTGTTCTCGTTCTGGGATTCGTGCACGGTCAATGGACTGATTCAGAAATTTTACGAATGGTAGGCGTTATTTTGGTCTCTTTCAGCCTGTTTTGGTTCGTCTTGGGGAATTTCTTAAACTTTTGCTTAAACGGTTATGGACAAGATGTTCGTGACGCTGAAAAAGAAGAAAACACTACATCTGCTGCACAGACTGAACTAACGAATGAGGACTTCCTGGTGGGGGGCAACTGGATCTGAAACCTACAGGAGAAATCTCAAGTTATCGATGCGATGCCATGTTCTCTCGAAATGTACACAAATTGTTCACATTTTGAGTTCGAGAGCCGTAGGTGACAACTAAGGACAGTTACAGATTTTTATTCCTGTAGATTTGAATTAATCAAAGAATTCTTTGAAAATCGTTTCCGCGAGTGTTTGCCAAATATATCTCTATAACTTTATAGCTGATTCAATGTCAAGGGGTCAGATAAATTTTCTATTGATGAGATTGCACTGTACGTGTCGTACAGACTTCATATCAATTCAAGTCTATACAGACTTGATATCGACTCGTTTATAATCAATGTCGTGTTGTAGCCGAGTCATTTCAGTGCAAATTGCACGAGACAAAGAATGTCGCCTTAATGTTATCTGCGATTTTCAAAAGATCTCAAAATCTATACTGTACATAACCAATACATCAAGAGCTATTAAGTGTTGTAGCTTTAGAGTGTCTTTTCCGAGATTATGGACCTGGTTTCGTTATCGCGTTGTTTTAGCCGCTGATCCTTGTGGAATATTCCATAGTTAATTACTTCTACAACTATCTCTCTGGCCTGATTCAAAAGCGGTGTCTTTATAACTAAAGATGAAATAACAGATTAGAACTTTAAGCTACATGTGGAATTAGTGCAACGTTACCGTGCTTAGCCTATTAAGCTATGGATGGCTGACCCAGAAGTGTGTTCAGCATTCATATCTAAAACCATGGACAGACTTATCCGTAGATTAAACAAAAACAAACAAGAAAAGTTCCGGAATGACAATTATCCGAAGTGATCATTCCCAGGAACGCTGAGATAAGCCATTGTTATCTTGGCTATTGACCGAATGGCACCATGAAGATCATAAAAAAATAATTGAGATGTTACAACTCCCGGTGTTAGTAATCGAACCAAATCAAACATGAATGCAACTGTCCAAGTACAACAGACTTCGAAAACCCTCATTTGGTTCTGCATTTGAAAAGCGCTGTACTGAGAATAGATACTCGAATCGAATGTTGACTCCTTCTAAAAGGCACATTATTGTCTGCGATCAGTTCTTCCACTCCTTGATAATTTAGACTGCAAGCTAAAACAAGGTTCTGACTCTCAACTGCATGTCAGCCCAATGATCTTTTATCTTTCTCTTCGTATGTTGCGAAGATTGTTGTCTTTTAACATAACATAACAAAACCTTTCGCATTTTTCAGTGGTTACCTTAAACAGGGGTACCCCAAAGAAAAATGGAATTTAACCCTGAGAATATCTATTTCTTACCATTTCGTCCTGTTGCAACAAAACTGTTGAAAATGGCGCGAAGCAGGGAAGAGTAAAATATAACTAATGCTATTAAATAAGTGTGAGGTCAGTATATTGAACCCACTCTATTGTCGCACCAAAAGACTGTTTTCGATATAAAAATTCAGCTTGGCAGCGAAACAAAGTAAATTGAATGAGCACGTTTATTCATTTCTCTTGTTTGTGCTTCTAGGCCTCGCTATCAAGCTGAATTTCGATACATCGAAGGTATAGACTATCACAATACTCATTTTTATTGTGGACCAGTTTGCCATATAATAAAAAGTGATATTGCACTTTCTCTCTCAGAGGTCATGCAAACTTTCGCTAGTAGAGTGATAATAGGCCAGCCAGTCAAGTCTCTTAGCTAACAAAGCGGTGAGTGATATTAGCGGCCCTCTATCATAATACTGAAACTTGCAAAAGACCGGCATGCAGCAGACTTGAGACTATTTTATGCGAACTATATTTCTCAGTTTTGGACTGGTGAGCTCAGCGGAATACGTTCTCGCCCTCTAAACTGCACCCCCTTCAGTGTATGAAATCCGCAGTGTGGCATAACGTTAATGACGTAAAATTACGTCAAAATTCCGAACAACCGTCATTGCCGGTGAATTTCTTGATCTTACCAGTCTGGAAAAAAGCCTCCAAAACTAACTCAAAAGTAGGTAAAACGGCAGGAAACTAGAATGGCCTTAAAAATATGTAAGCTATTGCAAGGTTTCTTGAATTTCAAAATTTAATATAAACACAGGCCTGTTCAAATATTGAATGGGAATAGGTCATCTCTAAAGACATTCCACTTCTAGACGCCTCTTTGTGGGCGCATTTCCGATTTGGGTTTTCCCGGCACGAACACAAGGTTGAATGATATTCTGGCTCATCAAGGACATCAAGGGGTTGAAATGTAATCACGAGAGCGTATTTGCTGGTATGAGAATCAACCGGTTTGGGAGAGCAATAGCAATCAAAATGTTTTACTGAGACAGTTGTATTTCGTGAGAAAAAAGTTTAAAAATTTTGCATTTTGCGTCCGAGGGCATCAGCAGCCGTTTTGTGAGTCCGGTCTTGATGATCACTGCTGGAGTGATGGTCAGGCTTTTAAATGCACCGTGAAATGATATCGACGCGCAGTAAGGTTGCCTTTTAAGACTTATTTGTGAAATAATGTTGTGATTTATACGGCTTCGTTCTTCGCTGGTCGCCCCCACCGGGTTCGCTAAAAAAAGGCAAAGTCAGTATTCCGTTCGCGGCGTCGACTTGATAAAGAATAAGGTTACAAAAAGTGTGATAAAAAAGCTGAACTTTAAAATCTCACATTTCTTTAAGATGATCTACAATTTTTTTAATTTCATTTTGGACCTGGCAAAAGTAAGGGATCAAGGAAGAGCTGCAAAATTGAAAAATACATAAATTGCGGATGCAAACGTTGAGGTAATTTTTATGTCGTGTCTTTATCTTGAGCCGCTTATTTGAAGGAACAAAATCTGATAACACTGCGCCAGCTGTTTGCCCCTACAAACTTGCTTGTATTAGAATAACATAACATACTAGACAAAAGCTATTCTCCAGCTTTATTCGCACTATTAACTCGCTTGTGATCGATTATGAGACAACCTCTGTAATGATTCAACTCCCCCGTGAATTCCTGTCAAGCTAGCGGTCCACTCAACACATGCACAAGACAGCTTTTTGCATCTGTTAATATAATTAAGTCATCATCAGACTATTTATGAAGATGTAATCGCTGACTTTTTCTTACGACCTCAGTTTTTGTCTTAATTTGTATGCGCAGATAATCAGTTCCTCGAGTGCCGAGAAAACAAAAATCTGTATAGTGCTTGTGCTGAAAAAACAAAAGTCAACCGCAACAGTCCACTTTTCATACGTAGTAATTTCCTTCGTTTGTCACTTCTTAATTCTGAATGTAAATAAGAAATCAAAAAGGTGGTGATGAGGAATCTCAAATCTTGACAAAAATCACGCTTCCTATCGCCACGGAACTGGTTCACAGAGAGAGGAACATTTGATCAGGGGCACCCAACGACCGTTTTCTCTCTAATGCTGTTAGATGCTGTTTAAGGCTATCTGGAGTACTTTTAAAGCTCTGTAGGTTAATTTTAGGTTGCACTAAAAAAATTTCATCTGTTCGGATATTCTAGGGGAACTTGAGTATTCTCGAATTTATTAGGGCTTTTTTGTCCATTTCCCGAAAACCTTAGGTCTTATCGCCTTTCCGAAAATGATAGCTGATCTTTTTTCGGTACTCAAAACGACATTTTTAACAGTCCGAAAACAACAGACATTAAATTTCTCATGTCACGAAAGTTCGAGGTGCCAATTCTCTCAAGAAAATCAGAGGGGATTAAAAGCCTTCCGAACAGATAATTTACCGAAACGATCCGTTGGGTGCCCCTGATTTGATTAACATTCTAGGAATCAATTCAGCTCTGACGAAACAAACGTGACCTTTTTACGAGGGAGCATATCCGCATTTAAAAGACGTACACGGATTTACGTCCTTTGCACGTATTTTCTTGGTCATTTTGACTTATATTATTCATATCTTGCTCTTACTTAAATAGAAGACGAGTCAGTACATTTTCAGTTGGTCAAGTTTCAAGAAGTGGTGGCGTTACGGACCGTTACGCTGACTGAGATAACGTGACGAACGTCACGCCTTCCCGTCATTATCGTGGCCGTGCCAGATGTGAGAAATGTAAATGTTGAAGTCAATTTATTAATATTATCTCCACACTGCAACTGTCGAGAAAAAAAATGGAGTTCCCCTTTCCGCTGGATGTAATCTTGTTCTTCACATCTGCAATTGCTGGATTTTTCATCTACGCGATCTATTTTCGACCGAAAGAATCGCTCAAGACGTACAAAATGGTGTCGAAGCGTCTCAGAGCTTCTAGTTTGTGCAAGAGCCTCGGTCTGTACGAATTTCACTCCATCAAGGATAAATTTGCCACTGTGGAAGAAGTCTCGTTTGCAATTAGAAATGCCGGATTAGAAAAGAGTAATTTGATTATTGGTATAGATTTCACGGCGAGCAATGAATGGCAAGGGAGGAAAAGTTTCGGCGGAAAGTCACTTCATCACATCTTCAACAGCACGAGGAAATTGAATCCTTACCAGCGTGTGGTGCAGATTGTTAGCAAAACATTGGAGCCATTCGACGAGGATAATCGAATACCCGCTTTCGGATTTGGCGACTCATCGACGAAAGATCAAAGTGTGTTTAGTTTTAACCAGGACGGTTCCCCGTGTAAAGGTTTGAATGATGTCCTGACACAATACAGCGAAGTCGTGCGCCGCGTAACACTGAGTGGTCCAACTACATTTGCCCCGCTTATACACAAAGCTATAGAGATAGTTGAACAGGAGAAGGCTTATACCATTCTGGTAATAGTAGCAGATGGCCAAGTTGTCGACGAACATGAACGAAGCACGAGACAAGCGATTGTGGAAGCTTCGAATTTTCCTCTCTCCATCATAGTTGTTGGGGTAGGAGATGGTCCATGGGACCGAATGCATGAATATGATGAGTTACTCCCCCAAAGACGCTTTGATAACTTTCAGTTTGTTGAATACGAGGATGTTGTACACAATGCTAAATATCCAGACACTTCTTTTGCACTTCACGCTCTAATGGAAGTACCGGATCAGTACAAAGCGATTAAGGAACTTGGCTTGGTTGAGGGAAAATTAAAAAGCAACGATGATTAAGGGTAATCCTCGTTTCATGAAATACAAATTCGTACTTATTGCCATTTAGGTTTGTTTACTTAAGCATTCAGATAGAAATCATAACCGTATCAAATCCATCTTTCATAGCTTATAATGTTTTCACACTCTTTACAAAGACTGGAAAATGTTGTCGAAAGGTTATCTTGAGCTTGAAGTTATTTAAATTCACGTTGCCGTTATTTGTTGTGAATAATTATTAGGAATCAAGGATTATTTAGTCTGAAACTAATAAAACTCTTGAACAGTGCGCGTACAGTAGTTTTCATTGAACCTGAATTTACTGAAGTTTAAATATTGATGAAACAAAAGGGAACATGGGTTTGGCAACCCCTTTCATATAAAATTACAAATAAAACGTTACATAGCATTATGTTCCATTTAATATTTAATTTTTCCTCGGGTGAAGAGTTAAACGTAAGATAGGATACTGTCAAAGTTGCAGGCTGTAAATTGTTGGAAATCTGACAAATCCCCGGGGGTGTAAATTTGCTAAAAGGATTTAACAGCTGAAAGATCCTTTACAGTTTTGTGGTTCATGACAACAAATTTTGCAAATTTCTTAAAGTCACATATTTAATAATTTATTTCTAGCAACATGATATTATCTCAGTGGCTTCTGTTTCACTTTCTTGATCAAAATTCTACCTTTTTTATTTATGTTTTAATTCAAGCTTTTTGAACAAGTGATTAAAGACTAAACTAGTTGGGCATTTAAATTATGTTATTTCACCTTCGTCAGTCATATCTTTCAGGTTTGTTTTAATATGTATTTAGGAGATAATAACATATTTTGGATTGCTTATTATCAGAAAATTTCTTCCATAAATTTAATTGCTTTGAAGACAAACAAAATCATCAGGTTCATTCCCAATCAACAGAATGATTACTTTATTGCTTCCAATGAACAAAACAATTCATTACAATTGATAAGCAGACTCAGCCATTCATTGGCAAGACTTTTCAGAATTTATCTTCCAAACAATACAGTTCTTTCAAGATGTATCACAACACGGTCTTGTAGCACCTTGCCACTTCAGTCTTCTGTAAAGCTGATTATATACTTAGTGGTTGATAAATCTATCATTTTTCCTAAACAAACTCAATTGAATACAGCTGCCTGCTGGCTACACAATATTAAGAATTTATAAAAGATATTTCCAGGTTGAGTTACGCTGTGCCTTTCAATGCCACAAACTCTGAAGTGTTTGCAACTCGACTAAGTTATGTGTTGCACTTCCATAAATTACCTTAGCGGGCATTTGGCAACAAGAAATTTCCCCCAGCAGGTTCAAAACATCACATCCATCGGTTGTGATTGGTGAAATTTGATTCACCATTTTTGTTTCTTTTTTCCCAGAGTCAGTTGATTTTCAATGTCATACTTAAGATTGACAGCAGGGTTAAACGCAATCTTGCTAACTGGGTTTCAAAATTTAGAATTTGCATGTTAAATAAAAGGAACCATTTACATGTTCCCCCGATGTCATAATGATGTGATTTCACTTACAAACAGAAAAAATTAAAACAAAGTCAACTTGGGCTCTCAAGAAGATACATCACTGAATACTAATTTTCATAACTGTGCAACTGTGCCAACTTAACATCAAGTCCACAAAAAGAGCAGAAAGCTCCATATTTCTTCATGAACTGTCATTTACGTGGCTTCAATATGCAGCAAGCAGAAATTAGTTTCTTCAGTAACAAACCTGCAAGAGATTTGAAACTGGTCAAAGTATTTTCACATCAGGTCCCCATCTTGTATCTGGATTTGTAGTCTGAGTTTTGCAGTGTTCAGGAGACTGAGGTGCCCAAGCTAATTTTCTCAATCAGCAATTATTTGTATTCAAGTCTTCTTTTATCATTTATCAAGTCTTCTTTTATCATTTACTAAAGAATAGTGTTTCAACTTATAAAATCATTTAATATTACCAGTTTATCTGGGTACTAAAGCTTTTTCTTCACTTCTTCAATGAGGTCAGTGTTGACTGGAAACTTTAGCTTCCTTGGTGGACCCTTTTTTATTCCAGTCCAAAGCAGCAACTCTATGAACAAACCAAGAGATATGTTTGCAAAGGTCAAAGCACATCAAAATTCACCAAATATATCAATGCTTTATATACCAATTTGCAACGCAAACTATTACTTTGCCTCCAAGATATCTGCGGATACAGCACTAAGTCTTATAACATACAAATATTTATTGTCAGAGGGAGTAACTGACAATCGTCAGGCAAAGTTGGTAATCAGTAGACTGAAACTTTTATTTAATCCAGTCAATTCCTTTCAATTTTCAAACTTTTAAACCACCCTACATGTAAAATCTCAAACATAAATTATCCTTTCTGTCCTGTGACTGTCCTATTTTTAAGAATGTTAAAATCACATGAAAGGGTTCTACTATGGCCTTTTTCCCAGAACTAAGTGTACACCAGGTTATTGGTACATTTTCTGTAAGAAAATTGGTCTCACTGACTGACCAAAGGAACCTTATTAGTGTCTCAATATTGTTATGAGCCAAGGGTGAAAAATCTTATGCATTACATTCTTAACAGCTAGGAATTTTTTTCCATAAGTCAGGCACTGTGGTCTAACACTTACAGTGCACTGGAGTTTAAATTCAAGCACAGTTTGAGTATGTCACATTTTCTACCAACCTTCTCCACCCTCCTTGATAGCTGTCAATTCAAAGCTCTTGGACCGTGGCTTTGTGTCATTGATAAGAACCTTGGCACTTGGGAATGCCTGCAGCAGCTCCGAGGACAGCTGATTTGCATTCCGTTTATACACCTGTCAGGATTTACTGCAGTGGTACATGAAACAAAAAAGGAGATGAGTTGAATGGATTTATGCATAATTGTGCACAAGGCCTTGTAATCTGCAGGCTGTAACATGTAGTCTTTGTTTCTCCCTTGTGCCAGGCCTGGCAAGGCAAATAAAAGACTGATGTGATCTGTGAATTTGTGACAAAAAACATTGCTAAATCCTGTTAAAAGAAAACGAGATGTATGATTTTTGCAAAATTCTTGTGTGAAACAGGATCAAAACCCCCACTTTGCTACCCTCTAGAATCCTGTTGTGGGCGTGGCTCATATCCGTGTTCACCCCTGAGAGGTAGTAATAAATCCAACCCAACAAAATTTCATATTTTCTTATTTGTGAACAAGATTTCTGGATAAACGTGACTATATTACACATAAAAATGAATAATCTCAACCAAAACTCAGTTAATTTACACTAGGACCTGTCATTTTTTCACTCAATACGTAGAGGGTACGACTAGCACTACCGTCAGTTTAATAGGGGAGTCCCCCTGGGTCTTGCATAGCACTCGTTATCCCCCCCACCCTCCCTCGTCTTTCCACCGGTTTATAGGTCTGATTACAAAACCAAAGAGTCAAACGCATCAAAACTTGTCAAGCCAGATAGGTGTCTTAAAATGACTGACTTAAGTTTTCATAGTAAATTTTGATAACAGAAAAATAGCTTACCAATGCTCGATCTTGAACGTCAAGCTCTTAAGGCCCTTCATTTTCTTTAAGACTGAACTCGTTTCATCAGGAGATTCATCTTTTTCTTCTTGCGCAGCTTCATCTCTTCCAAAATCACTGTGATCTTCCTTCTTTCGTTTGCCGCCACGAGGCATTTTAGCGAACAAACTACCTAAGGTCCGCTAATGTTTTGGCCTCAGACGCTCGATGGAAGATCGGCGCCAAACCACGGATGGGAAAACATAACAATCATTCCTATTGGCTAATTTTGACACTCCGTGGTTTTAACCAATCAATACTTGAATTATATTAATTTCCTGATGCTGCTGTCCACAATTTTCGCTGTCAACAATATGGCGGATGAGATTGGAAGGAGGGTTTTGTGCGAAGGTTTTCGCGGTGAATTAAAGTATATAGGGGTTGTTCCTCCTACCTCAGGTAAGTAGGCAGGAAAAATAACATTGTTGAAGCCTTATCTTAATATCAGGGCCCACACGGAGAGAAAAGAATGCTTTAAATAATTGTATAAAATTGCACTACAGTGGGTCTTAAATTTCACCTGAGCTGATCTATAAATTCTCAATCGTCAGTGGAACTTACCCCTTTAACTCCAAAGCTCGGGGTAAAAATATTCCTTACAACTCAGAGTATCTTGCATTGAATTTTGTGAGGGAGAATTTAACTCTAACTGGATATTTACTTGTCAGATCTCATCCTACATTGTCATAAATTATCCGTTCTTGTACCTGTGGATTTTTTATTTATAAAGGTAAATAGGTTAAGCCTAGTCCTCCACATTTGCAACATAAGGACATACCAGCATGAAGAAAAGATAGTATTTCCCCTGCGTCATTATGTTTATCTGACTATGTTCCCAGTTATGTTGTTATGTTGTATTGTTCCCTCCTGTGAGGGTCGTAAAGGGGGGGTATAGATCACGTTTCACGGAAAATAAAGCAGACCTTTCACAATTCACGAAAAATACAACATTGGCATTTCACGCTTCACGGAAAATAGAAGAGAACATTTTGGAAAATCACGGTTTACGGCGACTATGGAAATCACGATTCACAAGGAAAAAAATGGCAATTTCACATTTCACAGGAAATAAAAAGGGCCGATCACAGGTCACGAAAATACCCTTTACCACCCTCTCCAGTGACATAAAAGCAACAATACCATACGAGGCGATCTTTTTGCATTTGCCTTACCTTGCCATTATGTCATTANCGCGGTTCACGGCGACTGTGGAAATCATGATTCACGAGGAAAAAAATGGCTATTTCACATTTCACAGGAAATAAAAAGGGCCGATCACGGGTCACGAAAATACCCTTTACCACCCTCTCCAGTGACATAAAAGCAACAATACCATATGAGGCGATCTTTTTGCATTTGCCTTACCTTGCCATTATGTCATTACTTTGCTACCGTAAACAGGGTCTTACTGTATTGGTGAGAGCACTTCAGCCTTGAAAATGTTAGTCACAGTGTGCTTGGTCTTTCATTTTCTTCCCTTTTTGCTTGCTATAGATTATCTTTGAACAGAATCGACACTCGCATAACATAAAGGGATGAGATAGAATGTCCTTTAGGGAGGAAGCAGGAAGTAGAGCCAACAAATGAACTTCTTGTAATGACTTTTTTAATTGCTGGCGATTTAGTTTTGCGTGACTGATTGAATTGTGTGATGGGGATGACTAATTAAAACTAAGGACAGTGTGTACTTTGTAGGTGAGTGGTATGGTATTGAATGGGATGATCCAGATAGAGGCAAACATGATGGAACCCACGAAGGAGTTAAATACTTTGTGTGCAGGTAAACAACATTCAATACCCTTCATTATATACAACTGAGATTTTCCAGAAGCCTGAACTAAGCAGGGCAGCAGAAAACAAAACTTAGAAATGTATATTAGTATGGAGTGTTTTCTAAAGGAAAAAGTCATGTCATTCCGTTGTTTCTGTAACTTAGTATTACATGCTCCAATAAGTTTATACATCAGTGATGGTAGAAGCAGGAGTGGACTTGTTGCAAAACTTCTTTGTATAACGCAGTAACATAATTATATGTTAAGTGAACAAATTCAGTTTAATATTTTAATAATCTTATACCTGGTTGCAAGCAGTTTGATGAGTGCTTTTGGGTTCAAGCCCTCAGTGGGGTCATTTTGTCAGGTTCTTCAGTAAGAAAATTGAAGAAAACTATAATGCTGGGGATAACCCAATGATTGACTACCATTGCATGTATGAGGGGGTAGAGAAATACTCTAAGTCTCTTTATACATGAAGACTCATGGGCTACTAAGCTAATGACCACTGACTTTTCCTTTACCTTACAGGCATCCAAAGAGTGGTTCTTTTGTAAGGCCAAAGAAAGTAGACTTTGGAATCAGTGTTATTGAAGCTCTGAAGGAACAGTATGGGCTGGGTGGTGATGGGATCAACAAAGAAGACATGTATGTTATGAGTGGTGGAAACAAGAAAAAACCTGTAGAAATGGTTGGAGCAGATTCTATCCAGGAAAAGCAAAGGTATTTTTAAACACTAGACAATCCAATCCATTAAGTTCTCAAGCTTTGTCAGCTCATCAGACACCAGTTTTTGATGACATGTTTTCCTGCCGGCTGAGCTTGCAAAAGAAGCAGGAAACGAAGTTCTCCCACACTGAATGGGGGAGCTGGATACGAGTCAGGATGTCAGTTTCGCCCTCGGTCACGTGGTTCAATTTTTCTTTTCTTGCTGGACAGTGCAACAGTTTTCCCACCCTCCCACCCCTTAGGAAGTTCTTGCCTAAAGTTAATAGAAGTGTATCAACGGTTGGGTAGTTTTTTCCTGTTGTTGACTCAGATTCTGTTATCGTTGTGATGTTGATAGAAATGTCAATAAAGTGCTGTTGCATTGTGGTGTGGCAGACAAATGGCATTCAGTGTGTGAGAACAGAAATTAATTCCAAGATCAGAGATGAAAGTTGCTTTAGTGAGAATGTGAGCTACAAAGATGACCTTGTGTGTGACTGATAGCTACATGTATGATGACCTTGCTTGTGAATAATCATAAGACAAACTGGATTTACTCAGGAATTTAGTTTTCCCTGTGATAATTAGTTATGGATCTTGTTAACAAGACCTCAATTTCAAATTTAACATGTCATGCACACACACACACACACACACACGCACACACACACACATATATATATTTCTGTTTATTTGTTATATTTTTACTATGCTGTAATAATCTCTTACTGACTGGGCACGGGGGCAATATTGGCCCAATGTTGTGGCAGTATGGACCAAGCACAGCAAACTTCCTGCTTTCACAATTAGGGGGCCAATAATTTCCCTAGTATGGCTCAAGCAAGCTAGGCTAGTAAGTGGTTTATTATATGGGGCTTGGGCAAGTTGCGAGCTTAATTCTAAAGCAATGACTGTTTCAAGGAAAGGGTCCTTATGGCAAAATCCCAAGAAACCAATCAGAACACTTGGATTTACCTCAAGACTATCTTGCTGTATAGTAACAGAAAAATTACCATACACAGTAGATAGTGAGTAATCCTTATTAATGACAGTTTGTTCATGCATTACTTTTCAGTAACTACAAGGAACTCAAAGTGGTTAGTTTACGAGGCATTGTAGTCAATGGACCAGACAAAGAGACTGGTTTTTACACAGTTGCACCAAGTATCCTGACAGTCAGTTATGTTATCATATGTGATACATGTCAGGCTTTTGGCCAGGGCTTTAAAAATTGGGCATCCAAAACGTTTTATAGGGCTACAGGTGCCACTCTCATGGTGGGATCTTGTGGCAAAATTTAAAATGCTATGTAAGCCTCTGCCCTTTTGAGGGTAAATTTATTTTGATACTTTCAAATTTTTTCTCAATTTAGAAATAACTCTCATTAAGTTTCTCTAAAATGTGAGCATCCATGCAAGGATGCCTGGGTGCTCATCTGGCTAAAACCCTGATATGGAACGTGTTATTAAGCAGCTGTATAATCTTCATTTTGTATTGATAAGTTAATTTGACATTGAATTTCCAAGGATTTGGCACCCAATGTAGGTCTTATTGTCATCATGTACATGTAATAGTTGTTTGTCTTGATTTCTTCTTAACATAAGTTCAGATATATCAGAATTAGACCTATCTAAAACCCTTCTGTCTTCTTGGAGCGATTTGGCTTCTATCACGAGAAATTTGCGGCACCTCCAAATACTCAATGTAAGGTAAGGAAAAGTGAATGCCATATTTTACTCCTGTTACTTGAAGTATTTGTGATGTTTTCTAATATTAACAACAACTACAGTGTACCGTACATATAACCTCGTTCGCTGCAAACAATGGTCTACATCACAACAGGCCTTAATAAAAGGGTTTGAAATGATTTAAATGTACACTATAATGCAACCATAGTGGAGCATTTTATAGTTACTCATTACAGGGAACTGAAAGTCCAGATCATAGGATTCTTTCTTCATCTGTATTTTGATATTATGTGGTAGGCTGGATTGTTTTAACTGATTAGCATCCTCTCCATTGTATCCTCCAGTGAAAATGTTCTCAGATTACCACCTGTACCAGAACAGCTTCTGCCATCATTCACTACAATATCAGTTCTGTTTTTAAACAGAATGCAACTTCATTGGCAAGAGGTAAATATTTCTGCAATTTTCCATGTTAGGTGAGAAATATAATATAGATAATGAGTGATCATACAAAAGCTCAAGCACTTATATTACTTGCGATCTTTGAAAATTCCTCTAAATTAGACCTTACTTGAGGTTCATTCAATTTTTAGACAAATTTATCCTCAAATATCACTTATAGTATAAATCCTTACTTGCTCTCACATTTATGCAATAACCAGAACACCAATCATTTTGCTGTTACTGACTTTTTTATCCACTCTAGGTAGAGGTTATTGTAAGTGTGATGCCATCACTCAAAGAACTTCATGTTTGTCACAACTGTTTAAATAACCTCAGGTAAAGTGACAAAATACATAACAATTATTACTCTTTCATATCTTGCATTGGTGATGGTTCTTAAAATGTTGCAAAGGCAGGGCTGTCATTGAGGGCTGTAACCCATAACACCTGTTACAGCTGAGTATGCTTGATTTTCCCTTCAAGATGCTATGGGTGAAATTGCCTGTTGTTGATAGAATTCAACCACAAAGTAACAAGTTTGCTACGGGTTTGGAGAATGAGACTTCAGGTGACTCAAAACTTAATGACAGCCCTGCAAAGGGGCAAAGTAAAAGCATCAAAGTTGCAAGAAGATTGGAGGAAGTGGATTCTGCACCCTTTTGTCACCAGCATTTTTAGAGGACAAAGACTGATCATGATAAAGGACTTACTTCTGTTATAAGTATTAATAACTTCAAAACATGTCAAACATACTGGTAAGTCTGCATAGGAGCCAAGTGGCCCATCAGGTCAGAGTTTAACTCGGTTTCTGTAGCATGAAGCGACTAGGAGTATTTCTACTCCCCCCTGGATGGGATGCTAGTCCATTGCAGGGTTACCCCCAATATCAAGTTTGCTGGTAACCATTTATACATCTGGGTAGAGAGAGGCACTGTGAGAGTACAGTAAAGTGTCCTGCCCCAGAACACAATGCAATGTTCCTGGCCAGGGCTCGAACCTGAACTGCTCAATCTGGAGACAAGCACACTAACCATGAGGCCACCATCATAGTATTGATAATGGATCAGGTTCTCCAAACTAGCACTATGTGAATTGTATGGAGACTACTAAGGAGAGTGTGTATGTTGACATCAGGGCTTAATTAAAGAAATGCCATTTTCTTTGTAGAGGGAAAGATGGTCAGCTTTGTGAACTGCAAGGACTCCAGAATATAGAACTTTTAAATTTGGAAGGAAACCAGCTGTCAGAGTGGAAAACAATTTTAAGACTGGGACATTTACCAAGGTAAGTTAGAAACCCTTTAAAGCATGCTATAATGTCCATATTAATCATTGACACAGACTTGGGCTGTAAAAATGTGTTTAAATAAGGTTTCTTCATTTATTTAGCTCTGCGCCAAATTTCTTTTTTAGGCTCAAATGTGTTTAAATAAGGTTTCTTCATTTATTTAGCTCTGCGACAAAATTTCTTTTTTTAGGCTCAACTGTCTTATTTTAAATGACAATGGTATAACTGGTGTTGAATTAGGAAACAAAGTTCAAGGTTGGTATTACATGTGTAACTGCTGTTTCTGTTTGATTTTAACCTTGCAAACAGCAATATCTAAATTCTCCTTTGTGTGTTCCATACATTTTCCATAGTTCTTGTTGAAGGAATCTGGTTTAAGATAGGTCCCTGACGTTTTCAGTTCCGGCATGAAAGTGAGCACATTGTTTTGTGCCATGCAAAATAATCTTTACACTAAAGCAAACTTAAGAGTGACAACTTGGTCAGGCAGAAAACTATAACAGCAAAAGTAGTAACTATATCTTAAAAAAGAACTGTAAAAACTTTGTCTTGCAATTTAACTTTAGAATAAACACCATATACAGTGCAGACCAAAAGCTAAGTTGTAACAATTTTGTGTAGCATTATGGCTATATAACAAGTGCAAATGGTTGTTTAGTTATGATGTCTGCACGCATTACGTGCCTAGAATGCTGTCCAGTGTTCTGTATTGTGATTTCTGTTGCTCTTTATTCAGTTACATTTTTTGTATTGTTTGTTTGTTTGTTTGTTTGTTTGTTGCATTAGTGCACAAACATGTCTCATTTATTTCTGTTCAGATGGACAAGGCAGTGTTCCTCTTTTCCCTGCTTTGGAATCTCTCTCACTCAGTAACAATAAAATAAATGAGGTAAGAAAAAATCATTACTTTGTTCCGCTCTGGCTCATTGCTACAACATGAAAGGAAAACTACAGAGTAAGGAAAGAAACTTTGCTCTCTGAGCCCTTCCCTCCATAATAGAGATAAATGGGTTCTTGTAGATTAGGGTAACCTGAGAGAATGCAGGGACTAAAAAAAAAATAAATTACAATATTTAGAGAGGAAGCCACATCAGCTGTAGCTGGTTTTCATGCAGGTGCTCTGTCCTGGTCAAATTGGAATTTGGAGTGTTGGTTTTGTGGAGGGAGGAAAACCGGAGAACCAGGAGAAAAACTCTCAGAGCAAGGCAAGAACCAACAACAAACTCTACCCACTTATGGCACTGGGCTTGAATCAAACCCAGGCCACATTGATGGGAGGCGAGCGCTCTCACTACTGCGCCATCCCATTTCCCCAAAGTTAGCCTAGCGTAGTCCCCAAAACTAGAAAACTAGGACTAGCTTGTGATGGACCAGCATCCCATCCAGGCGGGCGGGGGGAGGGGGGGGTAGCAATACTCCTAGTGGCTTCATGCGACAGAAACTGAAGTTACATGTAGGTGCAAGCAAGATAAACCTGCTTTATAATTACAATCATGATGTCGTTTCAGATTCACAGTGTAAACGAGCTAAATCACCTTCCCTCTATGAATGCGTTACGCTTCAAAGGAAATCCTTTATTTCAGGGTAAGATGTATATCAAACAGATCTGTTTTTATTGTTCTCGCATCAAGTACAGGATACAGTTTGACAGTATTGGTTTGTTCTTTCAGAGGAAACTACGTTCGAAAGTCGTCAAGAACTGCTTGCTCGCCTTCCCTCACTCACTTCACTTAATGGAAGCCCGGTGAGTTGCTCAGAGGGTTTGTTTGTGGTGTGAGATTGCACAGTCGTAAAACAACCAAAGTTTAGCATTTGTAAAGTATTATTCACGAAATTGATGATCATCTTTGGCGGCAAAGGTGTTTGAACACCACTCGGATTTTAATCTAGAGTGCGACATTGAGGGATTTCCAGAATTGAAAAATTCATGTATGAACTCGTTCGTTTTATGCAAGCTTGTCACGTTGGGCACAGATCGTGTTTTTCCGAAGGATTCCGCAATTTTGTTATGTCTGAAATCAAGAATTTGGAAACATCAGTCGTGGATTGGTGCCTTGTACTTTGCGATTACAGTTGACGGCCTTTTCTTTTGTTTGTGTTTCTTTTCTTTGTTTTGTATCTATCTTTCTCTTTATTTTTGCTTTGTTGCTTCTGAGTTACACATCAGATTTTTCTTCTTTTTTGAGACAATCACACCAAAACACCTTTTTTTGCAATTCAGTGACACCAAAACAACTTACAGTGTGTTTTTTTTTTCTTGTTGTTTTAGGCCAATCTTAAAGAAAGGGAGGCTGCAGAGCGAGCCTATTTAAAGAAATACGCCAAGTCATGGGTTAATGCTGGTGGAAATCCAGTAGAAGGGAAAAACAGTGAACTACAACCTGAATTTGTTGACTTACATCCCAGATATGAAGAACTTGTCAAAGGTTTGAAACCAATGTTATTCATTCAGAATATGCATAAGTTTTCAAAGTGTTTTATTCTGTTGAAACGCATTTGGGTGTGATAAGGCATTGGTTCCAAGTTGGGTAACAGTTTACAGTCGTCAATATAAGAGTCTTAATGCATGGAATTAATGTTGGGAAATCCTGGAAATTAATTAAGAGCAGGAATGAGGGAATATTGGGTTATGATGGATTACAAAACTTACTCCTTGCAAGCCAAACAACACAATCACCAAGCTAAGATGGGACCGTGGGACCCACAAGTAAAGTGAAAAAGGCAGCGGCCAAGGAACAGCTGGCGATATACTGTAGAGAGGTCTACGAGGTGGACAGGCTTGAAATAGTACCAGCTACAGAGAGAAGTACAGGACAAAAGGGGCTGGAGAGGGGTCCTGGAGGACTGCTGCCCCACAACGCTTGCGTCAAGATCTTATGACACCGTCGCTGAGACTAAAGTAGAATTGACACCCAGTTGCCTCTTGCCCCAGAATCATGAATTAATATTAGTCCTAAACAATTTGAAAACGTTTAAGTCAAGTTATTCCGAAGTTGTATTTAATTGCTTGAAAACAAGCTTTACGATGTTTTGGAAGTTTAATTCTGGACTTTCTAGATGCTAAAACCAACGTGTTTTTATTTTGAACCTTTCCATGTTACGTTTCAGTGCATGGAGTCCCTGCTGAAGCCGAGCGAAACCAGAACACGTCGAAAACTTTAAAAGACTCTTTGATTTGTATCCTTGACTTTCTTTTTCTTTGCCATGTATCCCTTGTTGGCTCGTTACTTGTTAAACAGGCTTCATTCCTTAACAAGATCTATTTCAGCTGTTACAATTACATGCCCTGATGCTCCTGATAAGAAGTCTGTCACAAAAAAATTGCCAGGTANCACACACACACACACGCACACACACACACATATATATATTTCTGTTTATTTGTTATATTTTTACTATGCTGTAATAATCTCTTACTGACTGGGCACGGGGGCAATATTGGCCCAATGTTGTGGCAGTATGGACCAAGCACAGCAAACTTCCTGCTTTCACAATTAGGGGGCCAATAATTTCCCTAGTATGGCTCAAGCAAGCTAGGCTAGTAAGTGGTTTATTATATGGGGCTTGGGCAAGTTGCGAGCTTAATTCTAAAGCAATGACTGTTTCAAGGAAAGGGTCCTTATGGCAAAATCCCAAGAAACCAATCAGAACACTTGGATTTACCTCAAGACTATCTTGCTGTATAGTAACAGAAAAATTACCATACACAGTAGATAGTGAGTAATCCTTATTAATGACAGTTTGTTCATGCATTACTTTTCAGTAACTACAAGGAACTCAAAGTGGTTAGTTTACGAGGCATTGTAGTCAATGGACCAGACAAAGAGACTGATTTTTACACAGTTGCACCAAGTATCCTGACAGTCAGTTATGTTATCATATGTGATACATGTCAGGCTTTTGGCCAGGGCTTTAAAAATTGGGCATCCAAAACGTTTTATAGGGCTACAGGTGCCACTCTCATGGTGGGATCTTGTGGCAAAATTTAAAATGCTATGTAAGCCTCTGCCCTTTTGAGGGTAAATTTATTTTGATACTTTCAAATTTTTTCTCAATTTAGAAATAACTCTCATTAAGTTTCTCTAAAATGTGAGCATCCATGCAAGGATGCCTGGGTGCTCATCTGGCTAAAACCCTGATATGGAACGTGTTATTAAGCAGCTGTATAATCTTCATTTTGTATTGATAAGTTAATTTGACATTGAATTTCCAAGGATTTGGCACCCAATGTAGGTCTTATTGTCATCATGTACATGTAATAGTTGTTTGTCTTGATTTCTTCTTAACATAAGTTCAGATATATCAGAATTAGACCTATCTAAAACCCTTCTGTCTTCTTGGAGCGATTTGGCTTCTATCACGAGAAATTTGCGGCACCTCCAAATACTCAATGTAAGGTAAGGAAAAGTGAATGCCATATTTTACTCCTGTTACTTGAAGTATTTGTGATGTTTTCTAATATTAACAACAACTACAGTGTACCGTACATATAACCTCGTTCGCTGCAAACAATGGTCTACATCACAACAGGCCTTAATAAAAGGGTTTGAAATGATTTAAATGTACACTATAATGCAACCATAGTGGAGCATTTTATAGTTACTCATTACAGGGAACTGAAAGTCCAGATCATAGGATTCTTTCTTCATCTGTATTTTGATATTATGTGGTAGGCTGGATTGTTTTAACTGATTAGCATCCTCTCCATTGTATCCTCCAGTGAAAATGTTCTCAGATTACCACCTGTACCAGAACAGCTTCTGCCATCATTCACTACAATATCAGTTCTGTTTTTAAACAGAATGCAACTTCATTGGCAAGAGGTAAATATTTCTGCAATTTTCCATGTTAGGTGAGAAATATAATATAGATAATGAGTGATCATACAAAAGCTCAAGCACTTATATTACTTGCGATCTTTGAAAATTCCTCTAAATTAGACCTTACTTGAGGTTCATTCAATTTTTAGACAAATTTATCCTCAAATATCACTTATAGTATAAATCCTTACTTGCTCTCACATTTATGCAATAACCAGAACACCAATCATTTTGCTGTTACTGACTTTTTTATCCACTCTAGGTAGAGGTTATTGTAAGTGTGATGCCATCACTCAAAGAACTTCATGTTTGTCACAACTGTTTAAATAACCTCAGGTAAAGTGACAAAATACATAACAATTATTACTCTTTCATATCTTGCATTGGTGATGGTTCTTAAAATGTTGCAAAGGCAGGGCTGTCATTGAGGGCTGTAACCCATAACACCTGTTACAGCTGAGTATGCTTGATTTTCCCTTCAAGATGCTATGGGTGAAATTGCCTGTTGTTGATAGAATTCAACCACAAAGTAACAAGTTTGCTACGGGTTTGGAGAATGAGACTTCAGGTGACTCAAAACTTAATGACAGCCCTGCAAAGGGGCAAAGTAAAAGCATCAAAGTTGCAAGAAGATTGGAGGAAGTGGATTCTGCACCCTTTTGTCACCAGCATTTTTAGAGGACAAAGACTGATCATGATAAAGGACTTACTTCTGTTATAAGTATTAATAACTTCAAAACATGTCAAACATACTGGTAAGTCTGCATAGGAGCCAAGTGGCCCATCAGGTCAGAGTTTAACTCGGTTTCTGTAGCATGAAGCGACTAGGAGTATTTCTACTCCCCCCTGGATGGGATGCTAGTCCATTGCAGGGTTACCCCCAATATCAAGTTTGCTGGTAACCATTTATACATCTGGGTAGAGAGAGGCACTGTGAGAGTACAGTAAAGTGTCCTGCCCCAGAACACAATGCAATGTTCCTGGCCAGGGCTCGAACCTGAACTGCTCAATCTGGAGACAAGCACACTAACCATGAGGCCACCATCATAGTATTGATAATGGATCAGGTTCTCCAAACTAGCACTATGTGAATTGTATGGAGACTACTAAGGAGAGTGTGTATGTTGACATCAGGGCTTAATTAAAGAAATGCCATTTTCTTTGTAGAGGGAAAGATGGTCAGCTTTGTGAACTGCAAGGACTCCAGAATATAGAACTTTTAAATTTGGAAGGAAACCAGCTGTCAGAGTGGAAAACAATTTTAAGACTGGGACATTTACCAAGGTAAGTTAGAAACCCTTTAAAGCATGCTATAATGTCCATATTAATCATTGACACAGACTTGGGCTGTAAAAATGTGTTTAAATAAGGTTTCTTCATTTATTTAGCTCTGCGCCAAATTTCTTTTTTAGGCTCAAATGTGTTTAAATAAGGTTTCTTCATTTATTTAGCTCTGCGACAAAATTTCTTTTTTTAGGCTCAACTGTCTTATTTTAAATGACAATGGTATAACTGGTGTTGAATTAGGAAACAAAGTTCAAGGTTGGTATTACATGTGTAACTGCTGTTTCTGTTTGATTTTAACCTTGCAAACAGCAATATCTAAATTCTCCTTTGTGTGTTCCATACATTTTCCATAGTTCTTGTTGAAGGAATCTGGTTTAAGATAGGTCCCTGACGTTTTCAGTTCCGGCATGAAAGTGAGCACATTGTTTTGTGCCATGCAAAATAATCTTTACACTAAAGCAAACTTAAGAGTGACAACTTGGTCAGGCAGAAAACTATAACAGCAAAAGTAGTAACTATATCTTAAAAAAGAACTGTAAAAACTTTGTCTTGCAATTTAACTTTAGAATAAACACCATATACAGTGCAGACCAAAAGCTAAGTTGTAACAATTTTGTGTAGCATTATGGCTATATAACAAGTGCAAATGGTTGTTTAGTTATGATGTCTGCACGCATTACGTGCCTAGAATGCTGTCCAGTGTTCTGTATTGTGATTTCTGTTGCTCTTTATTCAGTTACATTTTTTGTATTGTTTGTTTGTTTGTTTGTTTGTTTGTTGCATTAGTGCACAAACATGTCTCATTTATTTCTGTTCAGATGGACAAGGCAGTGTTCCTCTTTTCCCTGCTTTGGAATCTCTCTCACTCAGTAACAATAAAATAAATGAGGTAAGAAAAAATCATTACTTTGTTCCGCTCTGGCTCATTGCTACAACATGAAAGGAAAACTACAGAGTAAGGAAAGAAACTTTGCTCTCTGAGCCCTTCCCTCCATAATAGAGATAAATGGGTTCTTGTAGATTAGGGTAACCTGAGAGAATGCAGGGACTAAAAAAAAAATAAATTACAATATTTAGAGAGGAAGCCACATCAGCTGTAGCTGGTTTTCATGCAGGTGCTCTGTCCTGGTCAAATTGGAATTTGGAGTGTTGGTTTTGTGGAGGGAGGAAAACCGGAGAACCAGGAGAAAAACTCTCAGAGCAAGGCAAGAACCAACAACAAACTCTACCCACTTATGGCACTGGGCTTGAATCAAACCCAGGCCACATTGATGGGAGGCGAGCGCTCTCACTACTGCGCCATCCCATTTCCCCAAAGTTAGCCTAGCGTAGTCCCCAAAACTAGAAAACTAGGACTAGCTTGTGATGGACCAGCATCCCATCCAGGCGGGCGGGGGGAGGGGGGGGTAGCAATACTCCTAGTGGCTTCATGCGACAGAAACTGAAGTTACATGTAGGTGCAAGCAAGATAAACCTGCTTTATAATTACAATCATGATGTCGTTTCAGATTCACAGTGTAAACGAGCTAAATCACCTTCCCTCTATGAATGCGTTACGCTTCAAAGGAAATCCTTTATTTCAGGGTAAGATGTATATCAAACAGATCTGTTTTTATTGTTCTCGCATCAAGTACAGGATACAGTTTGACAGTATTGGTTTGTTCTTTCAGAGGAAACTACGTTCGAAAGTCGTCAAGAACTGCTTGCTCGCCTTCCCTCACTCACTTCACTTAATGGAAGCCCGGTGAGTTGCTCAGAGGGTTTGTTTGTGGTGTGAGATTGCACAGTCGTAAAACAACCAAAGTTTAGCATTTGTAAAGTATTATTCACGAAATTGATGATCATCTTTGGCGGCAAAGGTGTTTGAACACCACTCGGATTTTAATCTAGAGTGCGACATTGAGGGATTTCCAGAATTGAAAAATTCATGTATGAACTCGTTCGTTTTATGCAAGCTTGTCACGTTGGGCACAGATCGTGTTTTTCCGAAGGATTCCGCAATTTTGTTATGTCTGAAATCAAGAATTTGGAAACATCAGTCGTGGATTGGTGCCTTGTACTTTGCGATTACAGTTGACGGCCTTTTCTTTTGTTTGTGTTTCTTTTCTTTGTTTTGTATCTATCTTTCTCTTTATTTTTGCTTTGTTGCTTCTGAGTTACACATCAGATTTTTCTTCTTTTTTGAGACAATCACACCAAAACACCTTTTTTTGCAATTCAGTGACACCAAAACAACTTACAGTGTGTTTTTTTTTTCTTGTTGTTTTAGGCCAATCTTAAAGAAAGGGAGGCTGCAGAGCGAGCCTATTTAAAGAAATACGCCAAGTCATGGGTTAATGCTGGTGGAAATCCAGTAGAAGGGAAAAACAGTGAACTACAACCTGAATTTGTTGACTTACATCCCAGATATGAAGAACTTGTCAAAGGTTTGAAACCAATGTTATTCATTCAGAATATGCATAAGTTTTCAAAGTGTTTTATTCTGTTGAAACGCATTTGGGTGTGATAAGGCATTGGTTCCAAGTTGGGTAACAGTTTACAGTCGTCAATATAAGAGTCTTAATGCATGGAATTAATGTTGGGAAATCCTGGAAATTAATTAAGAGCAGGAATGAGGGAATATTGGGTTATGATGGATTACAAAACTTACTCCTTGCAAGCCAAACAACACAATCACCAAGCTAAGATGGGACCGTGGGACCCACAAGTAAAGTGAAAAAGGCAGCGGCCAAGGAACAGCTGGCGATATACTGTAGAGAGGTCTACGAGGTGGACAGGCTTGAAATAGTACCAGCTACAGAGAGAAGTACAGGACAAAAGGGGCTGGAGAGGGGTCCTGGAGGACTGCTGCCCCACAACGCTTGCGTCAAGATCTTATGACACCGTCGCTGAGACTAAAGTAGAATTGACACCCAGTTGCCTCTTGCCCCAGAATCATGAATTAATATTAGTCCTAAACAATTTGAAAACGTTTAAGTCAAGTTATTCCGAAGTTGTATTTAATTGCTTGAAAACAAGCTTTACGATGTTTTGGAAGTTTAATTCTGGACTTTCTAGATGCTAAAACCAACGTGTTTTTATTTTGAACCTTTCCATGTTACGTTTCAGTGCATGGAGTCCCTGCTGAAGCCGAGCGAAACCAGAACACGTCGAAAACTTTAAAAGACTCTTTGATTTGTATCCTTGACTTTCTTTTTCTTTGCCATGTATCCCTTGTTGGCTCGTTACTTGTTAAACAGGCTTCATTCCTTAACAAGATCTATTTCAGCTGTTACAATTACATGCCCTGATGCTCCTGATAAGAAGTCTGTCACAAAAAAATTGCCAGGTAAATCATTTACCATGTGTGCTGGCTAAGATACCACTCTCGCAAACCCTGGCCACCCTGACTACGTATACCCTGGCAACCCTCTCCGCACTCGCAATCCTGGCCATTTTCATCACCTTGGCCACCCTCGCTGCCCTGCCACCCTGGCCACCCTTGCGACTGCCCTACCCTCATCACCCTGGCAACCCTTGCCACCCTTGCTATTCATGCCGCCCTGGGTGCCCTGGCCACCCAGGCTCCATTCTCACCCTCACCACCCTGACCACCCTCCCCTCCCTTGCCACTCTTGTTTCTCCTGTATCTCTCGCCACCCTTGCCACTCCAGCTTCCCTGGCCACCCTGATCACCCTCGCCACTGTCATCGCCCAGGCCACCCCTGCCACCCTCCTCAACCTTTCCCCCCCTCTCAACCCCCAACCCATTCGCCACCCAAGCCACCCTTACTACCCTCACCAGTTTGGCCATTCTCACCTCTCTAGCCACTCTTGCCACCCTGGGCACCCTCGCCACCCTTGCCACCTTGGCGAAATCGCGAGAGAATTAAACCCTTGGTTAAATTGTTATCACGGATTAACCAGTTGTCAATTTTTGAACTGCCGCCCTCAGAAGTATAACGGTTTTCCATTTATTGTTTAGAAGGAGTCAAACTTGAGCATTATTTTATCATACAGGAACTATGACGATAGGAAAACTTAAAGGATTATTTAATCGGCTTTTCAAAGTCGATAGTTCTGACCAAAGGTTGTCCTCTGTTGACAGCAAGGTAAGTGGACTGAGGGGAGGACTAATAGTAAACCTTGTCATTACGAAACCGCGAAAGCTTCTGAACACTTGTTAGAGTGCGCTCTAAGTATCATTAGGGAGCTTAAGCAAACCATGGCGACGACGGCAACGAAAACGTCTCCAAACAAAAGGTTTAATGAGTAAAACTAGCTGTGCATGTGCGTTATAAATCTTTGTACATTTCTTTGCCCGGCGTCCTCTGCAAAACAAGAACGTGAAATGACAAAGTTCTGCGTAGTCTGAAGAATGCAAACGACGACGGCTAATTTTTCGTATTTCCATTTGGAATTGAACGCTGTCATTGCATATTTAGTCTGAGCACGTTTTCAGAGCCATTGGGGTTCTAAACAGATCTAGATAAAATATAAATTCGTTTTTAACTAGACGTATTGGCTTATTGTGCTTTATGCCTTGGAAGCGATTGGCTCGGTTTGTTTCCCGGTTTGTTTCCCGGTTTGTTTCCCGGTTTGTTTTCCTCTGTGACTTTTTCTTTACCATCAAGATTGTTCGCTGGAGGCAATCACAGCTTACAAGAGCCTAAGTTACAGAAGAACAGCACTGCTGGTCAAGACTACTAACAACAGACAGTCGCTTGGTTTGAAACCAACAATCTGATCTTGTTTGCATCATATCGGCCAAGGACGAAAGAGTCAAAAAAAGAAAAACGTCCGCCCAAAATGGCTCTTCAGTGTTTCAAACCCCTCCCCACCCCCCCACCCGCCAGTAGTGGGAGGCGCGGTGGCCTCATGGTTAGTGCGCTCGACTCCGGATCGGTTCGAGCCCTGACCGGGGATATTGCGTTATTTTTTTGGGCAAGACACTTAACTGTCACAGTGCCTTTCTCCACCCAGGTGTATAAATGGGCACCGGCGAACTTAATGCTGGGGGCAACCCGGCAATGTACTAGCATCCCATCAAGGGAGGAGTAGAAATACTCCTAGTCGCTTCATGCTATAGAAACCGGGATAAGCTCCGGCCTGATGGGTCACTTGGCTCGCATGCAGACTTATTTTGTTTATTGAACTCTGTTTCCTTCAGTTGATTTGGTTAATTAAATTTTGCTGGTCAAGAGTGAAGTCTTCTATTTAGCGATGTAGTTTTGTATTGACTAAATGTGTCCGTTTTCTGTTTACAGCTCGGTCGGGAAGTTGAGTTGGACGATGATCTTCGACAACTTACATTTTATTCTGTGCAAAGTGGAGACACTATTTATCTTAGGTGGTGACTGAAATGTCAAATAAAATCGACTGAAACAACCCCGACTAATCAGCGTACTACGTTTCTTGGAATTAACCAATCACCGCAGACCTCGTCTACTCACGTCGAAAGGGCGGGAAAGTTGAGTAAAGCCTGCTGGCTGCTATTGTCGTGACCATTCATACCTCTTACTAACCGGGTTCGAGTGCCGTACTGGAAGTTACGGACCGAAATTTTTCCCCATCGATTTATGGCCCAAGCGCGAAGCGCGCGGGCTATAAACTGAAGAGGAAAAACGAGGATCCCTATCTTACAGTACGGACTGAGAAAACGCGGTTACTATGATATTTATTATATCTCTACTGTGTGCCTGACGGGTTCGGGAACGATTTTCATTCACGCGGAACGGCTTCAAATTTCTGACGCATCTCGAAAGCAAAACGAGTCAATTTGAAATCGTTGTTAAGTTATTCTTTAGTCGTTAGCAGGTTTTAACAGACAATTCAGAAGTAAAAGAAAGTTTTAAACTTTTACTTGATAAAAAGATTAATAACACTTGGCGATAAATCACGAAACATTTTGGCAACAAAAACAGCTTTAAATTTTAGCGGGCTGTACGGTAGAATACGGCCCGCTAAATTGATAGACTGCAAAACAGTCGTTTTTGGACGTTTTCGGAAGGCGCGAAGCACCGTAAGCGCGAGCCTCACGTGTGAGGCAAGAAAACGACTGTCGGCTTTTCATACAACGAATTCGTTCTAAGCGGGGATCGTATAATGTCACTGAGGTGACAGAAATTGCTTGACAGCTCCACCCACATCTTACAGCGGTTTTCAATTACACGCGACCTTCAGCGCAAAAGCGTGTAGACAAAATCTAAGTTTTGGTGGACGTCTCGTTGCCGACTGTGTGTAAAATTTACCTGAAAAAGTGAAACCTTGCAGCGGTCCACTCGTGAAAATTATCATTTTACTTTCGGTATGAACGGAATAGCTCACTAAATACATTGGTATTAAATATTCCTTGAAATCTATGAATGAAGACGTTTAGCGTGGTGAAGTCCGTTTAAGTGGTCTGGCAATAAATTCAAACCTCGCCAATGCCTGTCAACCGTTGGTTGATATAAGCAAGTCAAACTTTCAAGGAAACAAAATCGCTCTCGTCGGCCTGAACGAAATCTTGTCGCCCGCCTGCACATTACGGGATCTGGCGATAAATGCACAGAACGCGGGATATTCTGTGCTGATTTTTTATTTTCGCCCTGCACTGCTCTGGCTCATTGATGACAATGGAATGCAGACTGACACCAAGGACACATTGCTGATTCCGGTTTTACATGACAACCAAACGGAAGCAGTTTGCCCCCTACAAGACGCTGACCGAAGAAATGTTGACATCAGTGTTCAAACAGAATACCTAACGAACATGCAATGGTATTTAGAGAGACTTTAATATTGGTTTCTTTTGGGCCCAATAATCACATTTGAACGGCTCAGACGGAAAAAGAAACTCTGCTTCATGTCTGGCGTTCTACAACAAGATCATGAAGAGAGTGCCATTGGGGACGAGCGAAGCGTTAACGAAGGAGGCCTTCGCTCAGAGACGCAGAAACCTGTGGCAAATTATGACCAAGAAACGGAACATGACCAAACTGGAAGCGAAGAACAGCCTCTAATGGTTGTCGTAAACGATCCACGCGCTAATCTAATGACGACGACGAGTCACGAAACTAGTACACGTGTGGTAGTTCTTTTCAGAAAGATGTTCGGCAAACTAGCTGTTGCTAGTGGTTATGTGATTCTCATTGTAGTAGCTCTCCCGGTAGGTATATCCAGTGGAGGATTGTCCTTTTTTCGATTTGATGAAAACGAGAAACCCGTAACAAAATCTTTCTGGGATGTCCTTCTAAAATTTGACGTCAATAACCTTATTGACTCGTTGGGCAATAATGGAGGTATTTCGGCAACATTCATTAAGGTAACTATACTTGACTACTTTCTTCCTCTATGGTGGTCATCCCTTCGAATATTTTGTTTTTTCCTGTACAGTTCCTCTGCGTGTAAAACCACGTGGACCGTCCAACCAACTCTTCAAAACTAATTCGAAGTGATTGGTTTGCATCAAACATGTATTTGTTCAGTTTGGGTGTAGTTGTTCCATATTGTTCCCTTAGTCCCTTAATTGGCATGTTTGTCGTTGACTTAATTTTCCTCTCCTATTTTGCAACCTACAACATGGTCTGCACCATCTGTAATCTACTTCTTATTATCATCCTAAACAAACACAAAGTTGTCACAAGGTATGTCTTCTACATCAGTGTATGTATGATCTGTGCTTATATTGAAAGTGACATAGCAGCCGTGTATTATTTTATGATGAATTCTGAAGGCTTGCTGGCGAACCTAAAGCTTACTGCCCTGCGCAGGGCAGCCACTGGGTTTACTCTGACTCTCAGTTTCAGTTCCTCTATGCACATCATTCGCAAGCTTACTAAGCCACAGGAATCTTTGTTTGAGGGGCTGGGAGAAAAGTGAGGTACCCTAATTTTCTACCTGTCTCCTTGACAGGCATTTTCCATATCTGATCATTAAGTGCTTCTTGGCGAGTGAATAATTACAGGTTAACGCACTCAGCGAGTGAATTATCGGGATTTACCTGCACGAGTTCACTAACAATGAACGAGAAATTTCAGTACCACTCGAGGCTTTGCCCAGTGTGGTATTGAAAGTTTCGAGTTCATTGTTAGTGAACGAGTATAGGTAAATCTCGATGATTCACGAGCAATGAGTGCGTTAACATTTTTACTATTCAAATTGAAGACACTGCGCAAAGAAACACTGCATTGAAACCACTATATTTGAGTCAGCCGAAGCCATGGTGTAATGACAATGGTGTGTTGAATTTACACCACGGCTATTGCATTACGATAATGATGTCAAAGTGGTTGTCTCGTTGTAACCCAGTATCACGTGGTACAAATCAGCCAATCAGAAAATCGGAATTTGTACAGTGTATGAAAGTTGAATAATAATGAATGATCATGACTTCGGCTTCTTTGCGTCAGTTAAGGTGGCTCCATAGGGTAATCATTTATGGTGTTGCGCGCGCAAGTGTTATGTTTTGAATTTCGTTTTTGCATTCGTTTTGACACCCAGTCCTCTCAAACTTATTACATGTAATAAGCAATGATTAAATAGCATTTACTATCATCTCTATTAAAATTATGGGTTTTAGTCTTGAATTATAAATGCCCAAACAAATGTGTTTTTAACTTTTTTATGGCTTTATCTGTGATTTTCTTGAATTTCCGTGGGTGAAGTCGTCCAAAATCTTCACAGCATATCGCTTCCTACGGGATACGAATTTTAAACACGAAAAAAGTGGGGTTTGTAAGGGCAAGTTGTCTCACCGCTGCCAAAAAACTGGTCTTATAGATTTCCATGAAAAACGAGCTCCGACTAAGGTAAAACATTTACTACCAAGCTGCCAAATTTTACGAAATTTCACCGGAGGAAACACGAGAAAATTCACTGTCAGTTTTGCTGTTTGGGCTCATGTTGACATCATAAAATATCGAAAAACACTGATGTTTTCCTTCGCGTGCAGATTCGACTTGATCTCTCGTCCTCAGCGCGCGTGCGATCGTAAAACTATAGGGAGCCACCTTAAGCCTGGTTTGCAAAAGACTACTGCATCCCCGTATAGTGCTTTTGCTCATCTGGCTTATGCTTTAATGCGCTAGTGAAAACCTGGCCTCAAGCAATGTTTTTGTCAATGAAAAGATGCGTTGTGCAATCTTCAAGGGTTTAGAATACAAGAAACTTGCCGGGATTGTTCTTGATTTTCACTCATTTGGCGATGCTTCTTGATAGTAATTGTGAGAAAGCTTTCAGTCCTCCAGATTTAAAAATGCGTGTGTCACACAGGTTATATATCACTAACTGATTCTATAATTTAACAAGACTTTTCTCTGCCAAATTTGTTCTGATGCAGACACAGTTGTGACATTTGGAGTTTCATTGAATTCATATGTTAGAACAATAGATTTTTGTGTTAAACATTTACTTCATCTTAGCACAGTATAATGGTGATTGATTGCTGTGTTGTGATTAAGACGAGTCACAGTGACAAAAATACTGTAAAGTCAAATGTTATAGAGACTATGCAATAATTGGTTCTTTGTGTTAATTCCAAGAACACTGACAATTACAAGTATTGTATGCAAGGTTCTTGTATTTGCTGCAGTGCATGTCACATGTTATTATAACCTATATTAAGATTTTGTTGTATCATGTCTATAGAGATTATTATTGATTACAAGTTGTTAGACTAGATCTGATGCTCTGTATTCAAGGGTCATCCTTACTGAATAAACTTTCTTACTTTTGGGTTAAAAATATGATATGTGTGTTTATACTCAGTGAAGGAAAATGGTACAGGGCGTAGCGAACTTTACGGACCTGGATTCAGCAAGGTTTTTGTTTAAATGATCCAAGAAGACCGAGAATATTGAGAAGCATCTTAAACCGCTGGCGCACCCTACGATCAGTTATGGAGCCGGGCTGCGCAATCACAACATGCCAATAAGAAACCGAAAGCTTCTCTAGTTCAGATTTGAGGTAAAACAGTGATCAACAATCAATATTTCGTTGTAAAATTGCTAACCATGCACTGTGGCAAACAGTTTGATTTCTGCGTTGTTGGTATCGAGTCCATGGTTAGGTTACGCTTCGTTTTCGCAAACGCTCTTTTTATAACTGTACAACTGATGTCGTTCCAGATTTAATCTGTCGGATCTGTTTTGTTTTGTCGTAATGCATGCTCGTCGCTCTCCTTACGGGTTGGGCGGTTTCTTCCCCAGTCTGTGAAATCCACAGGAGACCCGTCATCCCAGTTGGTAAATGTACCACTGTTCATATCTCTCTCTAGTTCACTCCATATTAGCCACTGAAGGCGGGATAACAAGTCTGTATACAGGCCAAGTGTCTGGCCCACAGGGCCGGAGCTTATCCCGGTTTTTGTAGGAATATTTCTACTCCCCCCTGGATGGGATGCTAGTCCATCGTAGG